CACCAAAAAGACCGACTCCGATGATCACTGGGACGTCTGGAAAAATGGTCTTTTCAAACAACGCAAAAGGTTCTTTGGATAACAACTCAATTTGTTTTTCTCTCTCTTCAAACACGATGCTCTTCCACTGAGTCGCATGTTTCTCAATATTAAACATTATTATTAGCTGCTCTTTAGATATGTGTAATGTGTATAATGAACTGTTATACACGCAATCTGGATAATTCATTTGCACTTTATCCAATATAGCAATTTCTCTTTTTGTGTTTACAACACACGAGCAGTCTTTGAACGCATCCGTTTCGTCATCTTCAATATTCCTACACAACCCATATCTCACATATTTCCCAATCTTACACATTTCCAGTAATTTGGTGTTCTCTGGTAAGACCGCATTGACCGTTTCAATATTCTTTGCAGTTGAAAAGATATAGGAACACTTCCCATTATAATAGTTTCTGATGTCAATTTTGAACGTTTGATTTTTGGGTTGAGTGTCGTCCCAGTCTAAGTAAAGGTATGGGTGTTGCACGTTCAAAAATGCCAACCAGATCTTTGCATTGTCAAGAAGTGTGATGTGTTCCGGTGTTTGTGAGACTGCAATAACATCATATTTATTACTTGTATACTTTTCATCTTGGACAAAAGTGAGATCACACATATTAACAGACTCTTCAATTACAATATAAAACACGTTGTCTGGGGTCACATGGAAAATAAAGTTCGTTTGAAAGTATCTTGAAATTGCGAAAAAGAGCTTATCGGTCTGTAATCCGTTTGGTCTTATATGTAGATTTTTTAAACCACAGACGTTACTATCTAAGTAGATATAACTATTGTCGTTTTCTAATTGAATTATTTGGCATGAAACTTCATTGCCACATGTTGTATTATCATTAGTTCTACCATATATAAGGTCTTCGTTGTCGAGGTGCCAACAATCCCATTGTGCCAGCACCATATTAAACAACATTAGCAAAGTGCTAATGTAATATAACCATTGCATTACACTTTGATTTTTAATAGTTTGGTATAAAAATCAAATAATAATATAATGTAATATAACTGAATGTGCGGTTATATTAGTTAATTGTGTAAAATGATGATTAGGATACAATTTCAGGTTTAAATTTGTTTCAGTTATAATTTAGAAGATGGTCAACCAAATTAAAGTTGTAAACTTAAACTTAAAATGAATATATATAATACATATAATATTATATTTGTGGCTTTCGATTTGATTAATCAAGTTTGCAAGCACTGTTGGACATTACAAAAATAAAGGAATGGAATTTTATATTTTATATTTTTTTAAACGGTTTTGTTCTTATTTTTTTATTATTATCATCATTATTCATACCATTTTTTAATAAAAACTTTAATCATTAATTTAATTGATTTCTTTATGAGTGGATATTATAACCTTAAAAAAATTTGTCCTAAAATTAGTGGCAAAAAAACACAAATTTGTTTTGATACGAATATTAATAGTAATAGTAATATTGTACTATTACTATTACTATTAATAATATATTAATATATTAATATTATACTACAATATAATCACTCTACCTTATTCATTGTTTAGTCTTATACAATGCTATTAAATAAATTATAATTAATATAAACCATTTAAACAAATAATAAAAATTTGCTATTTGCCCGTTTTTTAACACATTAATATACTTATTATGATTTTTCATTTTTTACAACTAATCACGATCTCCTAAATCGTGAGATCTGAAATATTAATTATTAAAAAAATAAAATCAAATTAAAAAAATACAAAAAAAATAATATTTTTTTGTTGTTATACTTTTTGTTTTCATAAATCACATTATTACTTAAAATCATTATAATTTGAAAGAACGTCCTTGTTTTTACATTGATTTATTTTTACTGGGATATATTGATATCTTTTGGTGTTTTTCCCTTTTACGCTTGTGTACAGTTTTGCAAATAATAAACTTTTAAAAACACGGAAAATATTCAATAAAATCGAGATTTCCCGATTTTAGATCATATGATTATTGTTCATCATATTCAATTGTTGATAAATAAAATCATTACAAGTAACACCTAGTGTTTTTAAGTTCAATTATTTCATATTTAAAATGGTGAAGTATTCTTTATTTTTATAACATTTCCAGATTTAATAAAAAAAATAAACACATAAATAAAATAACAATGTCACACTTAGACTCTTTTAATGGCATGGTTGTATCAAAATACTTCCGTACGTTTCAAGACTATATTAATTTCGAGCTTGTTTGTAAAAAGTTCAAAGACAACCTGGACAAGTTTCATTACAACCCAATATCTCTAACACGAGAAAATATAAAGCATTTTCCTAAGTTAGAGACGCTCTACATTTACACTACAATGGACGACTCTTTTGTTGAAAAAAATTTCTTCAAACGAGTCATATATTATCCCGTCGATTGCTCAAAGCACAATAACAAAGATGAGTGTGTCGTGTACCGGACATTTTATTACAGCCGAGATAATAGAACAAAGTACCCAATTCCCAAATACGCAAGTATTATTGGAATCTCTACTTATGAAAACGAAACAATAAAACAATTGGAGATCCCTGATAATATCACCAAAATTGATGACATGGCTTTTCAGTCTTGTCGGATGGTCGAATTCAAATTCCCACGACACTTATACTTCATAGGTAACAACTCCTTTGCTCAATGCAGTACATTGACCTCAATCAGTCTGACAAGTGCATTGCACCACATAGGAGACTTCGCGTTTAGTCATTGTTCGAAAGTCAGTAATTTAGATTTACCTCCCAATTTGACGTACATTGGGAAAGGGGCCTTTTTCGGGTGTTCTTCACTTTACAGTCTTCGCATACCAAACTCGATCTCCGAGTTATCGGAAAGTTGTTTTGGGTATTGTTCGAAGCTCTGTCTTATCACAATTCCAACATCCGTTACATCGATCAATGCAAAGTGTTTTAACTACTGCAGTTCACTCCGTTCACTTCAATTGCCAAGTTCAGTTGTTTCGATAGGAGATCATTGCTTCCTCGACTGTCATTCTCTTATTTTCGTGTCATTTCCAAAGAGTGTCACACACTACGGTGAAAACATCTTTAGAAATTGTGTTGCATTGACTCAAGTTACCTTTCCCGAACACGTCACAAAATACCAAAAAGGTACCTTGTATGGATGTTCCGCAATAATAAGTTACACTGTGCCAGATGTCATATGTGAACTTGGACCTTATTGCTTTTCAATGTGCTCAAATTTGAGTAAAATTTCACTGTCTAATAATGTTACAGAAATTGGGGATGATTGCTTCAATCGATGCTTTTCACTCGCTTCTTTTGATTTACCAAAGAACGTCACACGGTTGGGAAAAGAAACGTTCTTCGACTGCACTACACTGAGCGAATTCCAATTTAACAAAGTTATAAAATCTATTGGAAAAGATTGTTTCAGTCACTGTTCATCACTTACACTCTTAAACATACCAAAAACAGTTGAAGAAATTGGGGATCAAGCATTCTATTATTGTCCATCACTTCTTTTAAAATTACAAAGGTCGTACAATAACACAGTATCATTTTATGATAAGTCGCAGTTAAAAAATAAAGACACAACTTCTTCTATAAAAGATTGCGTAATCGTTTAAAAACCTGTGTTTTAATTGATTCTCAATTGTAGCACATAATGTTGTTTTTATATAATAATAACATCATTTATCTGTAATTTCCTTGATACTCTATTTTTAATTCTATTAAATGTTATATTGAACTAGAAACATTAGTTTGTATAAATATATATAAAGATAATTAAAATAATTAAACACCATCAAGTTGAATGTACTTTTCTAAGGTAAATTGATCACATTTCTTCTTTGGAGTACTCGCATTTTTTTCAACCCTTTTCTCACGAGTCCTCGCAACTAGAACAAATGTCGAGAATATAAATACACAGACGAGGATTCCACTGAACACCTCTTGGAAAAATGAAATCAAATTCGCAAACATCGACAACACCCCACCAACCGCAAAGTAACTATCACAGTTATCACATCGGGAATATTGTTCTCGTGTTTCGTCATATTGTTGGTCGCATTGACAAGTGACATATTTGCCATTTATTTTCGTACGAAGAAAATCAATACAACAGTGATGCTAATTGTAATTATTATTTCTATTATAATTATATATAATAATAATATATGAAAACAAGTCGTCGAATTCTTATGAAAAAATAACAGTAAAAAATCCTGTGTATCAAAATAACCATAAAAGAATAATTTAAAAACTATTATAATATTACTATACTTACATAAAAAACCCAAACTGTTTTTCAAA